CCAGCGTCTTCATGTCTGTCAGCGTTTGTAAAGACACTTTTGTGCGTATGCTCGCACGCATGAGTGAGCCATTAACGAAATCGGGGACAATCTACACGGCCTCAGCTGAGAAACACGAGAGGCAGAAAAAGAAGAGGTGAACGGTTTATTCGTGGAGAGAGTGAGCGGCCGGCGGGGTTTGCTACCTCCAGAGCAGGAGGCGCGTTCCACTGTGAGCGCGTCTTTGGGCCCAGACCCTCTTCCCTGAATGGTCGGCTAAGACGGGCCGTTCTGGCTAGGTCTTTGGCGAGCTGGGCCCTGACCACGGGGCGGGTGAGCGTACTGGCCTGGGTCCAGGGGAGGCGGGAGCCTGCAGGCGCGCCCGTTCGATTCTGCGCTGCGCGCCACCCTCCAACAAGCACCCCCCTCCAGCCTCGCAAACGGACCAGGCCCAGACAACGGAATGGAAAGGCCGACGCGGGCCCGGTACTAAACATCACACGTACGAAGACACAAAATACATAACACACAGCTCCGGCCGCTCCTGGTTGGCGGCCGTTTCCCAACCACTGCTCCTCCGGCTTCTCCCCAGCCGCGCAGGACTGTCGCCCCTTGCAGGAAGGGGACGGTTCCTCCTCGTCGTTGCCGGGAGATCAAACAAGCGCCCCCGCCACGAACTCCCACCTCCCCTTCCGGGCTGCTGCGGGACGCCGGCAGAGGAGCTGACGAAGCCCGTGTTTCTGGCCTTGCTTATGGGCTCTATGAGCGTGGTGGTGTCCAGGTAGTGGATCTTATAGAACTCCAGCAGGGACGGCAGCGCCTCAAACTCCTGATCCCCGATCCGAAACCGAGGAGGAGCCAGACCTGGCGGAGGAAAGGGTGACAGTTAGTTTGTTGATCTGATCAAACACTTAAACGCCGACGTCTTTGGGNNGCAGCGAGCCAGAAGATTAACGGTTCACTGGAAGGTCCGAACACTCGGTCCAACAGGGGCGACCCGGGCGAAGAGAGAGAGAGGGCGTTCCTTCACAATAAAAGTTGATTTAAAAAGCTTTTATTATGAAGCAGCAAAACCAGGACGCGTTGGGTTTTCATCAGTAACTCGACGCGACTCCTGTACAGCTGAAACAAGAAGCAGATACCCGAGTATACACTGAGATCTGTCCGTCCGAACCACGAGGCTCCAACATACACGTTCACATCAGTGCTCACACACGAGTAAAATCAGTCTATAAGTACAATAACCTGAATGTGTTGTTCGGGTTAATCCGGCGATTTAAATGCATGAAAACAAAAGAAAACGTAATAATAATAAAGGTAATTCATCACATTCATGCAAATCCAATATTGCCATAAAGCAGTGACACTCAACTTGAGGTCTGATTCACAATAAAATGATTCACACTTTGCTCAAAGCGCTCAGTAATGTCCGAATAATGAATGAACGAGCCATTCAGAAGAAGGATTCACAATGAAAACAGGAAATCTGCTTTTATTTTACTTCATATAAACCCTTTAAAGCGCTGGTTGATTTTCCAAATGACAATTAAAACGACAACAATTCAAATATTCATTAGTTTAATCTGATAAATGTTATTTTTTGGGTTCATTTTCTGGCGTCCAGACGTTTTGCAAAAGGCAAAGTAAGTTGGGGGAACAGCCGAAGATAAACGGAGATATTAAAGAGACAAAATAACATAAAATCTATACCTTTATATCGCCTCGTCGTGTGTCAACAGCGGACACTTAAATGAACATATCCAGGCAATAAGTTCAACTTTAAATGAGCCAGTTTGAGTGGACGTCCTGATTTTAAAACATCCTATAAAAGTTAACGTCGCTGCTCGTTTCTCAGCCACCTAATCGCCCTCCGTTACTCCAAACATCTATCACACGTTCTCCGTCACACTTGGGGAATAAAGCCGCTGTAACGGCCCAACAACCGATGATTTACTTGAAGGAGATTTTAAAAAGGAAGCCTGGAAAGGACAAAGAGCTGCGAGGCCGGCAGCAGACCTGTGAGCAGGGCTATGTATGAGCAACAGGATCACAGACATTCCTGAAACGCCAATCTGGCCCAGTCATCCTCCGGTTGTGACAGCCCGGCCCGCCGACCGCCGGGCCACCGTCCCGCCGCCGCCGCCGCTGCTGCTGCTGGAAGAGAGATTCATAAGTGACCCTCAAGTCTGACTGAAACACCAAACCCTTTAAAAAGTCCTGGTTTTGTGCATCTTTCTGCTAATCCGACTGGTTTTGAGTCAGCCCCGCTCCGGTCTTCTCTCCGTTGGCTCGCTGTTTGTTTTAGGAGTTGATTTTTAAAGATTTTACTGATCACTTTTACAACTCGTCTGGTTCCTGAGCTACTTAACAGGAAGTGTGTCGTCTCGGGTTGTTCGAGAGTCGAGATAAAGTTCACAGAGTCGGTGACTTTCTTTTAAAATCACTTCTTTAATTAAAAACCACTTTTTTATAGACTTCATGTAAAGTACTCTCATCTTTTACACTCTTTTTAGGTTATTTATCGTTCTGCTTCGTCCCTCAAAGCACTTTGTAAACTGTTTTTAAAAAAAAAGGGCTATAAAAATAAAGTTAATACTGTTATTATTAAGATAATTTAAGACTTTTATTGATCCCTCACAGGGGAAATCCACTATTACTAACAACCACACCAATAAATCCACATTATCACTGGTATTACTATTAATTAAAGACTGTCGGATGTTAAGACACAACAGTTTTAGTGTCCTGAAAAGCAACAAACATGTAATTTAAGTCAGAAACACTTCAGACTGACTTCTGATCCACAGCAGCTAAGCTAAGCTACCGCCACACTGGGCGGTAACCACATGTTCAAAGTTTACAGTTTTAAAACACAAATACTGAATAATATCACATTTTATGAACGCCGAATACAAGAGCAGCTCCCAAACACCCGGGAAACGTTTAAACTTCCTTCATAATTCACAGGTGTATCCTCAGTTTGGTTAAATAAAGTTAAAATAGACGCTTTTGTAAAAGGGGTTCGGCGCGGCTCGGTAAGATTCGGGTCAAAAAAAACACAGCAAACGAGGTTTTAACGCGAAAATACACGCGTGCGTGTGCGGTGCGTGTGTGCAGGACTCCGGGCAGGTAAGTGGCAACTCACCTGAGCCGGACTGCCGGTTGTTGCTGATGCTGTTGATTATATAATGGGACACTTTGGAGTTCTCCGACACGGACAGCACGTAGTCTCCGGGGCTGGTGATCGAGTCCCGCACCAGGAAAACGCCGTGTCTTTGCCCCTGGAGGAGGGACACGGCGTCCTGGCGGCTCAACCGGCCCCAGTACCAGCTGCCGCGGTCTTCGGCGTCAAAATTACCCGCCATGGTTGTAAATCTAGTCCGAGGCTTGAGGCCTTGTCCCCCCCTCCGCCTCTCCCTATCCGCGACTCATACACGCAACTTTGGTCTGACTATCGCTGAAGTTAGGAGAGAAAAACGGCCCAAATAGCGCGATTTTAACCGTTCAGTCAGGCGGTTTAGTTGGAGGGACTTTTAAGCGTTCAAAGTGAGACAGAATAAATAAATCTAAACTAATGTGCAACAAGAAACTCGCGGGCTGAAATGGCGGATTTAAGGAAAAGTTTTTTTTTTTTTTTTTTACTCTACTTCTCTTTCTTCTTCGTCTCGGTTGACTGCGGTTGTCGTCCGGCTCTTTGGTGCTTTAGCGCCCCCGCTGGACTGCAGGCTGAAGTAGGAACTGCACTTTTAATCTATAATAAATGAGGAATCACGTGTTTAATTTAAATATTATATATAATAACTTTACTTTAATAACTTTACTTTACTTTACACAGTGTCACTAACTCCACTCCATTTGCACTGTGGAAGCCCATTTCCACCAGGAAAAAAAAAAAGACAGATAAGACTTAGTCTTGATAATAAAAATATCTTTAAAGTATAAAAAGTAATTATTATGAGATAAAAAGTCATAATTATGAGATAATAATTTCGACTTATTATCTCATAATTATGAATTTTTATCTCATAAACTTATGACTTACTTACTTTGAGGATATTTTTATTATCAAGTTTTATCTGTTATCTTTTTTTTCCTGGCGGAAATGGGCTTCCATAGTTTACTGTAGCTACTGGTAATTTTATATATATATATATATATATATATATATTATATTTTATCTTTTATTTTATTTTTAATTAGTTAGGGTTTTTAATGTATGTTTAAAGTATGTTTAATGTATGTTCTATCTATCTATCTACTAATATATTTCAGTGATAATATTACAGTTACCCCCCAAAAATAATTAGTTACAACAATATTTTGTTGGCACCAATACAGTATATTATTATTATTATTATTATTATTATTATTATTATTATTTCTAGATATACAATGTATA